GTTAGTAACACTCCACTGACCTCTCTATAAGCTGTAAATTTGTCGAACAAGTGATAGATGATGTCGGCGGCAAATATTTTCACGCCCAGACTGTCAGCCATTTCTTGTGCCTCTCTCTCTATCCGCACGTCAAAGGCCAGGATAACCGCGAACCTAAGTAACGCAATGAAGATACTTAGCAAACTATATGACGAGAAGCATATATGGCGTTTCTTCGGACAACATATACTCTTTTATTTCCTTTCATTGTTTGCCAATATTTCAATTTTAATTTTTTAAGACAATCTTATAACACTATTAATGAAAACTTTTAGGTAAAGTTAATACAGTGTCCCCAATTAGCACACAAGGGCTAAATATATTGACACTTAAATAAAGTGCTTACTTACTTATCTAAACATGGTACCAAATAGGCACGTAACGCGCGTTAAGAGTGTGCTAGATTCTTGAGTCACCGCAAACTCTCTTGAATAAAAGGACCAAGTTTCTCTTCTCAGGTAAAATGTCTCATGATTCTTTCGCCGAAAATCGTCACGCTTAATTGCTCCACAGGTTTTGCCGAGTTATTAACTTGCAGACCTTCCTTACCAGGAAAATTAATAAAGGTATAGATAAAAACACATTTTCAACAATGATTTGCAAATTCCTACACATTCCTTGCATCGCGTAGCTCCATTCATATCAAATGAGTTAAGACGGCCGCCATTTTGAATGTTATGACGTCATTATGTTGGTTAAAGCGAACTGACATCACTCGGCGAACTCAAAACTTGAGATTGGGAATGCCTTAGTTAATCATTTTTTGACCAAATTTTTGGTGTTCACAATGATTTCTAAAACATTAGCGGCGATTTGTTTCAATAACAGACCTTCCTTACATAATGGTATTCACTAAATGACCCACAAAGGGCCAAGAAAACGACTCACTGGCTGTCGTGTTCCAACATCGTGGAGCATTTCATGATGTCCTTCTTGTGAACTGGGCCGATGTTCACTCCAGAATACTATAAAATAAAAATGAAAAAAGGCCTGTAAAGTTGTGATTACTTTCAAGTCAGGACAAAATGCTTCACGCCCTCATGAAACTAGTACGATTCTACTGAAACAGCCATAGTGTTGCACGGTTGCTACTCACAGGAATTTTCGAAGTTCGCAGGAATTCAAGCAGGGCTTCCAGTGATCCCAGAGTAGAGGCCTGCACATACACACCACGGTCTGACAGCTTGATGGACTGAAGCGTGTCACGAAGCAAGTTCGACACTTCTTCCTGTTGGGAAGCAGAGTACAGAAAATTATGATCTACTGCAAAAAATAAGATACATAAACGCTGACTAAGTGGTCTTGTTAGTACTAGTAGAGTACAGGAAGTTATGATCTACTGTGAAAAAGATTTACAGCTAAAATGGTTACTTGGTAGTCTAATTAATACTACATCAACGCTTTGATTAGAGAAAAGTAATCGAAATTCTAGGCCAAAGTACTGTACAAATTTAGTTTCTCCTTTCTCAGAGAGACATAGGATGAAACGATTTAATAAAGAACGGCCTCAGTCACGTTTGATAATTATCACACTAACACGAGGGTATAAACTAAACCCGCCACTTCCTTCCAATAGCTGCACAGCTGCAAAAATATTTTTCACGTGCATTTTGGTTTGCCTCAGGCCAGTTGGGATTTCTAACAATGTCATATGCTATGTTCAATTTGAATTATTTGTTTCAGTCGTTTGTTCGGCCCCACCTGCCTTTGTGCTATAAACACTGCCGAGGGTAAATAAAGGTTATATTCGTTTGTTTGTCTTTTATTTACAAACCAGACATTCGCAAACGCGTTTTTCTTCACACGCACATTATCACAACTTGTAAACAGCTGTTAAAGGTGTTGTGACTCACCTTCCAGTAGTCAACCTCGTCTGGTTGCTGAGCAACAAACAGCGGTATACCAGCCAGGGCCTTTTCCAGGTCCTTAGCAGCAATTTTGACCCCCTGGGAAGCAAGAAGCTCTTTGTTGTTGATATACTGGTTCTTGACCCTTAGTTCCTTGAGAGGCTGAGGCGTAAGTAAGGCCCTAATCTGCGTTACAATAGGGCCCTCAATTCCGGCCACTACGACTGTGTCCCCTTCCTTCAGCTTACCATTGATCAAGATCACATCAATTGTAGTGCCAAGGCCGGGCAGTGACTTGACCTACAGAGAAACCAGAGTAAAGGGTTAGGTTGGGTGCGGTAAATAAGACGGATCAAGATATTAGGGTTCGGGCCACGGACGGGGTCACTGTATTCCGTGCAAGACACTCACATCCTTTAGTTTCTCTCTTGTACCGGCGAGTTGTTGGCACAGAATGAGGGGTGACTTGCAATGAACTAGCATAGTCATCTAGTCATCTAGGGGGGAGGGGGGGGGCATTCCTGCTGGAGTTAATTAAATTTTACTTTGGATTGAGATTAATACTGTAAGGGCATGTCTTCTGCCTTCTTATTCAGCGGTCTTGGTTACCTTAAGACCGGACCTCGGGGAAGAATTTTTCGCAAAAACCGTATGGCTCGGAGCGAATCAGCTCTTANGGGGGGGGGGGGGGGGGGAAGGAGGGGAGATTTGTTGCACTCCCAGAGTACCATTTCGAGTTAAGCAATACTGAATAAAAAGTAAACAGCCAAGATGCAAGCCGCGGCTGTAGAGGTGCTTGCAATCCAAAGTAAAATACGCACAAACAAAACAATACCACTGAAAACACAGTCCCATTCGCAGCCGTTACTTGACTCGTCACGCAATGATTCACCACACCAACTAGTGACTAGAGCGTTGCGTTACTACCAATGTGAGAACACGAATTGTTATATAGCTGGAGTTTTTCCTGCTACAACGCGCCCATTCATTGGCTAGTTCATGGTCACATGACATCTAACAAAGAAATTGTTTACCGCCAAATGCCATGGGCGGGCAACATTGTGAAAACTAAGACGTCAAACGGGAAACAGTTCACCGTTACCCCGCGAAATGTTGACCGCTGTTGCACGTGATCAAAGCGTGCAGTTGAAGGTGGTCTGATGTTGTCGTTGGAATCTCAGCGCGTTTTCCAAAATTTGCTTTTGTTTTGTTTTGCTATATAACAAATCACTTAATGACTAGTTCTTTGGGGAACAGTGAATTTTGTCTCCCTCGAATCTCAATGTTTTGTGAGACCAAGTCGAGGAAAACATTGAGATTCTCGGAAAACAAAATTCACTGTTCCCCTGGGACCAGTCATTAAGTGTTAAATGTTTGCAACCCTATTTATTGTTTTATTTCATGCTTCAGCACTTTCCTGCTGGAGTTAATAAAATTTTACTTTGGATTGAGATTAATACTGTAAGGGCACGTCTTCTGCCTTCTTATTCAGCGGTCTTGGTTACCTTAAGACCGGACCTCAGGAAAGAATTTTTCGCAAAAACCGTATGGCTCGGAGCGAATCAGCTCTTACCTCCAGCACCATGCTCTGCAATTCTTCAGAAAAGGCTAGTCTTTGAGCGAGTCTTAATTGAGTGAGTTGCACCACTTGTGAGATCAGATCACCCATTCCATCTCCGGTGTGAGCAGATGTGGGTACTAGGGACACATACGATCGAGCATCGGGATTGTTGTAGAAAAGAGCTGCATTCAAGGACTGTGAAGAAAGAAAGGAAGGCGATGTTTAAGGAGTGGCGTCACGGCTGGAACACAACAACAACAAGAAGAACCCGCTTGTAAAAGTTTAACAAGTTGATTTCATTTGGCTTGCTTGTTCCACGCATTCAGTTAGTTTGGGAACGCATGAAACTGGCTACCGCAGTTGTTTGACCAGTTACCGCCTTAGAGACGACCTCCCGCTAGTTATATGCGACGTGCCAGATGCACTTGCTAGAAGGGTGCGACCTTTAATAAGACTCGCCCGCATGATGAGAGAACTCAAACAAACCTGTTCAGCGAACTCTTTCACGACGATCTGCACTCGTTCATCAAACTCTTGTTTAGTGTTTTTCTTCTGTTTTTTGATCGTGTCAAAGATGCCTGAATTTGGACCTCGCTTCCACTCAAACAGTCTGTCAACCTTCAAACAAATTACAGCAAAATATGCCTTACCGCCAACTTTTAGATTTGCATTTCAGGAGTAAACATAAAACATATCAGTAAAACTTGAAATAAACACAGTTACAGAAGTTACAGACCTTGTTCAGTGCCACTATAAAAGGAGTCTTTCTCTTCTTCAACAAGTTAAGTGACTCGATAGTCTGTGGCTCCAAGCCATGCATAATGTCCACCACCAAGATAGCCATGTCGCAAAGGGATGACCCGCGGGACCGTAAATTACTGCAATACACACGAGACTGGTATTTGTAAGTGGTGTAAACAGACGTATTTCCCCGCGCCCACTTGTGAAACTTGGGGGAATGGGCACAAAACGTGCCACAATGACGACGTCCCTCGACTTGACGGAGATCTTAAGGAACAAGCAACAAGAAAACTGGCAAGCATAAAGATCTCAACTGGAAGTTAACTAGAATTTTAAAGCGTTCTCCCGAAATTGCAAAACCACCCCGACCTATAATTCTATAGAAACGAAGAAGTTTTCTATTTCATTCAAAATAGAACCCATATAAAACAAACTACTTTCTACAAGGCGTTTTAATCTTAATTAAATGACTGTGCAACTGACCTGAAGGATTCATGTCCAGGTGTATCGATGATAAGAAGACCAGGCAGCTTGATGTTAAAATCTTGAAACTGAAATAAAGTGCATGTGTTAACAAAACACGTAACTACTGATACGTAGTTGTAGAGATGAAGAAAATTGATTCCCTTTGACATGCATGCTTAGAAAAGTCCTTCTAATATCAATTAGTATGAATCTACTAGGGTTCTATGACGAATACCGTTCTTTTATAGGCTACGCTATTCACTATCTATTCTGTTGTAGATAGCTAGTGAGTAGCCTAGCAGTGTGTGGTTGTTAACAAAATGGCAGCCGCTTCTTTGCCCTTTTCAAAGTGTCTGTGAACAGGAAAAGATTAAAGTTTTGAACGACTAGTAGATTTATACTAAAACAATTAGATTATTCGCTCTCGATTTCGTTTTATAGAAAAACTATTCTATCACGAATGCCGTTCTCTGATTGGCTACGCTACTCCTATCTATTCTGTTGTAGATAGTGAGTAGCCAAGCAGTGTGCGGTTGTTAACAAAAACAACGGCCGCTTCTTTACGTTTTCAAAGTGTCTGTGAAGAGGACTTAGAAGAAATATTGAACGACTAGTAGATTTATACTAAAACAATTAGATTATTTGCCTTCATCATCTATCAGGCGATAGAAGTCTCGATCGAGTTCATAATCGTCTCTTGCACGAAATCTAAGAAAGCTGGCACCATTTCTACTGTGTTGGACTTACATCTTTGATCATCCTGGTCTGCTCTCTGATAGCGTCAACAGGAACCATAGTAGCACCAATCTGCTGAGTAATACCGCCTGCTTCTCCATCTTGGACATGAGTGTGACGTATCTTTTAAAAAAACAAACACACTGATCAGAAAAACTCTCAAAACGTCATTGACATAACCTTAATTTAAAGCGTGCTTCATTCATTATCAGATAAATTATATTCGCAATCTAATGATACTGATAGAAACCCACCTTGTCTAAAATCTTTGTTTTTCCAGTGTCCACATGGCCCAACACACAAATGACTGGAGATCGAAGGTTGTCTGTGCTTCGATTAGCTTCTGCCCTTACACGTCTTTTCTGAAAGAAAAAAAAAGACAGAACACAATGACTACCATTTTAAAGTTTGCCGATAGGGCAATCTAATTTTAATCCTTGCCATCTTCCTCCTTTGGGTTTCTACCACTTGCTCAGTAGTGCTCACTACGATTATACATCACAATGATAAGGAGAGTGGAAGGATGAACAAGAGGGAAGGGGAGGGAGGCCAGGAAAAAAGCTCCCTTAAAAGCAATACAAAGAACCGCTAACCACGCAAAGAACCACAATGTATCTGTTAAAAACTATGTTCCATCTCAGCAACATCAAACGTAAGTTTCCACAATCCTTCTAGCTCTTTCCTTTAGTAATCCGTCCTTCTACTCCCATGTTTTTTTTTTTTATGTTCACTCAAACGAGATGGAGGCTAACTCGATAACCTCGCGGTTCTATTAGCTCCATGTACAAACTATGGACCACTGTCACGTTTTTAATTGTTATATATGAATCTTTTTTCTTTTTTTATGTTAATATTGTAATTTCAAAACTGTAAGTGCAAAATAAAGTGAAGTTGAAGTTGAAGTTGAAGTATCAGTGAAGTAATATCCGAGCCTTCACGGTAGAACTGTGCTGCTGACCACCCAGATGAAGGACTGCTGACAGGAAACAGACTGCTAAGCTCGTTGTTGTTCACTTAGTGAACTATATATTTACTAAATTAAGGCCATGCCCTATAAACTGGATTTTGACGAACACCTCTCTTTGAGGAATCTTGTCCAAATTTCCAACACGCATCACCATCTTCTCTCAAGGGTTTTCTGTGCTAATTGGCAGCATATCATGTCACGGTGATCATACCTCAATTCTTTCCCACACAGTTTCTGTTTTGGTGTCCTCGTCATCAGACTCCTCGTCACTGTCACTCTCTTCCTCCTCGTCATCTGAATCAGTGTCCTCTTCACTTTCCTCACTCTCCTCTGAGTCTTCTTCACTTTCTGCAGCCACTTCTGCAGACGGTTTGACTTCCACCTTCAAAAGAATAAAAAAAACAAAACATTCAACAAATCACTAAATATTTAACTGTCAACGTGTTTAGCAGCACTGTGCTAATTAGGGACACTGAAATAAGCAAACAAATATATTGTAAATTGAACAGAAACTTGTTAAAATCCCAACTGGTGGGAGGCTGACCAGCTGGCTATTTACAAAGCATGAAGGAGTTGAATTTGGGACCACCAAACACAAATCCATCCAGTAACAGGGAGGAGGATTTGAACTCAGGACCTCCAGATCACAAATCCAGCACCCTTAACCATTAGACCATACTGCCTCCACAAATCTTGTACATATAGAATATTGTACATACTACAATATTGCACTCATGAGAAACTACACGGACCCTGTTAGAGGACAGCAGTCTAAATTCTTAACAAGAAAAGAAATCACAGTGTAATGTATTTATACCTTAACTGTAGCTGGTGTTTTAGCATCAGAACCTGTGGGGAAAAATGCTTTCACTCACATGAAAACTACAAAAATTTTTATACTGTACTTAAAAAATCCTAATATAAGCACCTATCTAAAAGTAATCTCCAACAGATATAAAGTGGCAGTAAATAAAACAAATACGGAATAAATACCTATTTATTGTTAGACTGCAAAACAGTCGTTTTTGGACGTTTTCGGAAGGAGCAAAGCACTGTAAGCATGATCCTCGCGTGTGAAGCGCGCAAGCCTCACATGCCCATAGGGCGTGTGAGGCTATTGTCTGTCATGTAGGAAAGTTAAAGAAAATGACCAAAAGACGACAGGAACCTAATATACTTGTCAACTCTGGAGGTGTGTTACCGATTCTCTTTTTCAGTATTTTTTAACATAAGTCCAAGGTATTACTGTACAATAATATTATTAGACGCATGTAGCACACCTTTAACAGTTGTTTTATCTTCAAGTTCTTCATCAGAATCAACGTCCCAAGAGTCCTTGACCTACAAACAGTTTAGTTGTTTGATTCACCTTTCCACTGATGTGTCAATAGCAACTTTTAATGCATGCAGCACTGATTCTTTAATGAAATCGAGCTACTGTATGATTGTCCAATGTGGTAATCATACTTAAACTGTGGCTGCAAAATACAGCCACTTGCACTTTTTCTGACTTTCACAAAGGTAATGTGAAAACCAAAAAGTCAATACTGTAAAAAGACTAAGGGAAATTCTATATATCTGAATTGCTTACAACTGAGGCCCCATTGGGGCCCACTACGGGTGGGGCAGGGGTCTGAGTATCCCATTAACTTGGGGCCAAAATTTCCTGTACATTAGAGAAATAAACAACTTTCTCTACTCAATATCTTGGGATATCTGTTCAAAATATCCCAGTACTCCCCCCTCTAAACAAAATCTCCTAATCTCATCGATTTGTTACCTAAATATCCCACATCTTGAAAAATCCTAACAGAACCTCATAACTCAAGGGTTTGACTTGTTATGAAGGTTAAATGAGCAATGTTCTATTCAAACTGGGGCACTATTATTTCTAACAATCATGCTGCTCTTTCAACAGTTAAATTCCAAGAGTTTTTTCTATTTGGGTGGTAAAGTGTGTGTGCATTGTTATTGTTAAAATTCACAGGATTTTTAGCTGTGCCACTGAAAAATACCTCATCCTCTTCTTCAGCCTCGTCATCCTTGTCCTCCTCTTGTTCTTCAGTTTCTACATTGTCAGTGTCCTGCTGATCTGTAGCAGAAACTACATGTTATCAAAGAAAAGATACTGGTTGCCTCTCTAAGAAACCTGAACTAAGTAACTGTGGAGCGACTGGTGAAAGAATCATTGATTTTCAACACAACAAACTATAAAGGTTACTAGTTACCATCAGATTTCTTATCATCTTCTTCAGCAATTGTGCCTTCAGAAGTAGTGACTGTTAAATGAATTAGACAAGACAAATTCAGAAATGGCAATGATACTATTAATAGCCACATTTACAGCAAAATGTGAAAATAGGCCTGCACAATTTTGCTTAGTATATATTATCTCAAGTTTATAATGAATTTAGTTTTAAAAAAAATTCAACATAGTTTGATTTATATTATTTTATNGGGACCAGTCATTAAGTGTTAAATGTTTGCAACCCTATTTATTGTTTTATTTCATGCTTCAGCACTTTCCTGCTGGAGTTAATAAAATTTTACTTTGGATTGAGATTAATACTGTAAGGGCACGTCTTCTGCCTTCTTATTCAGCGGTCTTGGTTACCTTAAGACCGGACCTCAGGAAAGAATTTTTCGCAAAAACCGTATGGCTCGGAGCGAATCAGCTCTTACCTCCAGCACCATGCTCTGCAATTCTTCAGAAAAGGCTAGTCTTTGAGCGAGTCTTAATTGAGTGAGTTGCACCACTTGTGAGATCAGATCACCCATTCCATCTCCGGTGTGAGCAGATGTGGGTACTAGGGACACATACGATCGAGCATCGGGATTGTTGTAGAAAAGAGCTGCATTCAAGGACTGTGAAGAAAGAAAGGAAGGCGATGTTTAAGGAGTGGCGTCACGGCTGGAACACAACAACAACAAGAAGAACCCGCTTGTAAAAGTTTAACAAGTTGATTTCATTTGGCTTGCTTGTTCCACGCATTCAGTTAGTTTGGGAACGCATGAAACTGGCTACCGCAGTTGTTTGACCAGTTACCGCCTTAGAGATGACCTCCCGCTAGTTATATGCGACGTGCCAGATGCACTTGCTAGAAGGGTGCGACCTTTAATAAGACTCGCCCGCATGATGAGAGAACTCAAACAAACCTGTTCAGCGAACTCTTTCACGACGATCTGCACTCGTTCATCAAACTCTTGTTTAGTGTTTTTCTTCTGTTTTTTGATCGTGTCAAAGATGCCTGAATTTGGACCTCGCTTCCACTCAAACAGTCTGTCAACCTTCAAACAAATTACAGCAAAATATGCCTTACCGCCAACTTTTAGATTTGCATTTCAGGAGTAAACATAAAACATATCAGTAAAACTTGAAATAAACACAGTTACAGAAGTTACAGACCTTGTTCAGTGCCACTATAAAAGGAGTCTTTCTCTTCTTCAACAAGTTAAGTGACTCGATAGTCTGTGGCTCCAAGCCATGCATAATGTCCACCACCAAGATAGCCATGTCGCAAAGGGATGACCCGCGGGACCGTAAATTACTGCAATACACACGAGACTGGTATTTGTAAGTGGTGTAAACAGACGTATTTCCCCGCGCCCACTTGTGAAACTTGGGGGAATGGGCACAAAACGTGCCACAATGACGACGTCCCTCGACTTGACGGAGATCTTAAGGAACAAGCAACAAGAAAACTGGCAAGCATAAAGATCTCAACTGGAAGTTAACTAGAATTTTAAAGCGTTCTCCCGAAATTGCAAAACCACCCCGACCTATAATTCTATAGAAACGAAGAAGTTTTCTATTTCATTCAAAATAGAACCCATATAAAACAAACTACTTTCTACAAGGCGTTTTAATCTTAATTAAATGACTGTGCAACTGACCTGAAGGATTCATGTCCAGGTGTATCGATGATAAGAAGACCAGGCAGCTTGATGTTAAAATCTTGAAACTGAAATAAAGTGCATGTGTTAACAAAACACGTAACTACTGATACGTAGTTGTAGAGATGAAGAAAATTGATTCCCTTTGACATGCATGCTTAGAAAAGTCCTTCTAATATCAATTAGTATGAATCTACTAGGGTTCTATGACGAATACCGTTCTTTTATAGGCTACGCTATTCACTATCTATTCTGTTGTAGATAGCTAGTGAGTAGCCTAGCAGTGTGTGGTTGTTAACAAAATGGCAGCCGCTTCTTTGCCCTTTTCAAAGTGTCTGTGAACAGGAAAAGATTAAAGTTTTGAACGACTAGTAGATTTATACTAAAACAATTAGATTATTCGCTCTCGATTTCGTTTTATAGAAAAACTATTCTATCACGAATGCCGTTCTCTGATTGGCTACGCTACTCCTATCTATTCTGTTGTAGATAGTGAGTAGCCAAGCAGTGTGCGGTTGTTAACAAAAACAACGGCCGCTTCTTTACGTTTTCAAAGTGTCTGTGAAGAGGACTTAGAAGAAATATTGAACGACTAGTAGATTTATACTAAAACAATTAGATTATTTGCCTTCATCATCTATCAGGCGATAGAAGTCTCGATCGAGTTCATAATCGTCTCTTGCACGAAATCTAAGAAAGCTGGCACCATTTCTACTGTGTTGGACTTACATCTTTGATCATCCTGGTCTGCTCTCTGATAGCGTCAACAGGAACCATAGTAGCACCAATCTGCTGAGTAATACCGCCTGCTTCTCCATCTTGGACATGAGTGTGACGTATCTTTTAAAAAAACAAACACACTGATCAGAAAAACTCTCAAAACGTCATTGACATAACCTTAATTTAAAGCGTGCTTCATTCATTATCAGATAAATTATATTCGCAATCTAATGATACTGATAGAAACCCACCTTGTCTAAAATCTTTGTTTTTCCAGTGTCCACATGGCCCAACACACAAATGACTGGAGATCGAAGGTTGTCTGTGCTTCGATTAGCTTCTGCCCTTACACGTCTTTTCTGAAAGAAAAAAAAAAGACAGAACACAATGACTACCATTTTAAAGTTTGCCGATAGGGCAATCTAATTTTAATCCTTGCCATCTTCCTACTTTGGGTTTCTACCACTTGCTCAGTAGTGCTCACTACGATTATACATCACAATGATAAGGAGAGTGGAAGGATGAACAAGAGGGAAGGGGAGGGAGGCCAGGAAAAAAGCTCCCTTAAAAGCAATACAAAGAACCGCTAACCACGCAAAGAACCACAATGTATCTGTTAANTGAACAAGAGGGAAGGGGAGGGAGGCCAGGAAAAAAGCTCCCTTAAAAGCAATACAAAGAACCGCTAACCACGCAAAGAACCACAATGTATCTGTTAAAAACTATGTTCCATCTCAGCAACATCAAACGTAAGTTTCCACAATCCTTCTAGCTCTTTCCTTTAGTAATCCGTCCTTCTACTCCCATGTTTTTTTTTTTTATGTTCACTCAAACGAGATGGAGGCTAACTCGATAACCTCGCGGTTCTATTAGCTCCATGTACAAACTATGGACCACTGTCACGTTTTTAATTGTTATATATGAATCTTTTTTCTTTTTTTATGTTAATATTGTAATTTCAAAACTGTAAGTGCAAAATAAAGTGAAGTTGAAGTTGAAGTTGAAGTATCAGTGAAGTAATATCCGAGCCTTCACGGTAGAACTGTGCTGCTGACCACCCAGATGAAGGACTGCTGACAGGAAACAGACTGCTAAGCTCGTTGTTGTTCACTTAGTGAACTATATATTTACTAAATTAAGGCCATGCCCTATAAACTGGATTTTGACGAACACCTCTCTTTGAGGAATCTTGTCCAAATTTCCAACACGCATCACCATCTTCTCTCAAGGGTTTTCTGTGCTAATTGGCAGCATATCATGTCACGGTGATCATACCTCAATTCTTTCCCACACAGTTTCTGTTTTGGTGTCCTCGTCATCAGACTCCTCGTCACTGTCACTCTCTTCCTCCTCGTCATCTGAATCAGTGTCCTCTTCACTTTCCTCACTCTCCTCTGAGTCTTCTTCACTTTCTGCAGCCACTTCTGCAGACGGTTTGACTTCCACCTTCAAAAGAATAAAAAAAACAAAACATTCAACAAATCACTAAATATTTAACTGTCAACGTGTTTAGCAGCACTGTGCTAATTAGGGACACTGAAATAAGCAAACAAATATATTGTAAATTGAACAGAAACTTGTTAAAATCCCAACTGGTGGGAGGCTGACCAGCTGGCTATTTACAAAGCATGAAGGAGTTGAATTTGGGACCACCAAACACAAATCCATCCAGTAACAGGGAGGAGGATTTGAACTCAGGACCTCCAGATCACAAATCCAGCACCCTTAACCATTAGACCATACTGCCTCCACAAATCTTGTACATATAGAATATTGTACATACTACAATATTGCACTCATGAGAAACTACACGGACCCTGTTAGAGGACAGCAGTCCAAATTCTTAACAAGAAAAGAAATCACAGTGTAATGTATTTATACCTTAACTGTAGCTGGTGTTTTAGCATCAGAACCTGTGGGGAAAAGTGCTTTCACTCACATGAAAACTACAAAAATTTTTATACTGTACTTAAAAAATCCTAATATAAGCACCTATCTAAAAGTAATCTCCAACAGATATAAAGTGGCAGTAAATAAAACAAATACGGAATAAATACCTATTTATTGTTAGACTGCAAAACAGTCGTTTTTGGACGTTTTCGGAAGGAGCAAAGCACTGTAAGCATGATCCTCGCGTGTGAAGCGCGCAAGCCTCACATGCCCATAGTGCACATTGTCTGTCATGTAGGAAAGTTAAAGAAAATGACCAAAAGACGACAGGAACCTAATATACTTGTCAACTCTGGAGGTGTGTTACCAATTCTCTTTTTCAGTATTTTTTAACATAAGTCCAAGGTATTACTGTACAATAATATTATTAGACGCATGTAGCACACCTTTAACAGTTGTTTTATCTTCAAGTTCTTCATCAGAATCAACGTCCCAAGAGTCCTTGACCTACAAACAGTTTAGTTGTTTGATTCACCTTTCCACTGATGTGTCAATAGCAACTTTTAATGCATGCAGCACTGATTCTTTAATGAAATCGAGCTACTGTATGATTGTCCAATGTGGTAATCATACTTAAACTGTGGCTGCAAAATACAGCTATTCTGAGTCTAAGGTAAACTTTGCACTTTTTCTGACTTTCACAAAGGTAATGTGAAAACCAAAAAGTCGATACTGTAAAAAGACTAAGGGAAATTCTATATATCTGAATTGCTTACAACTGAGGCCCCATTGGGGCCCACTAGGGGTGGGGGAGGGGTCTGAGTATCCCATTAACTTGGGGCCAAAATTTCCTGTACATTAGAGAAATAAACAACTTTCTCTACTCAATATCTTGGGATATCTGTTCAAAATATCCCAGTACTCCCCCCTCTAAACAAAATCTCCTAATCTCATCGATTTGTTACCTAAATATCCCACATCTTGAAAAATCCTAACAGAACCTCATAACTCAAGGGTTTGACTTGTTATGAAGGTTAAATGAGCAATGTTCTATTCAAACTGGGGCACTATTATTTCTAACAATCATGCTGCTCTTTCAACAGTTAAATTCCAAGAGTTTTTTCTATTTGGGTGGTAAAGTGTGTGTGCATTGTTATTGTTAAAATTCACAGGATTTTTAGCTGTGCCACTGAAAAATACCTCATCCTCTTCTTCAGCCTCGTCATCCTTGTCCTCCTCTTGTTCTTCAGTTTCTACATTGTCAGTGTCCTGCTGATCTGTAGCAGAAACTACATGTTATCAAAGAAAAGATACTGGTTGCCTCTCTAAGAAACCTGAACTAAGTAACTGTGGAGCGACTGGTGAAAGAATCATTGATTTTCAACACAACAAACTATAAAGGTTACTAGTTACCATCAGATTTCTTATCATCTTCTTCAGCAATTGTGCCTTCAGAAGTAGTGACTGTTAAATGAATTAGACAAGACAAATTCAGAAATGGCAATGATACTATTAATAGCCACATTTACAGCAAAATGTGAAAATAGGCCTGCACAATTTTGCTTAGTATATATTATCTCAAGTTTATAATGAATTTAGTTTTAAAAAAAATTCAACATAGTTTGATTTATATTATTTTATGGTTCAATTAGGATGGTAACAAATCTCAACAAAAGAAAACTATGCCTCAAAGCAAACTAGTTTGAAAGTATCATTTTGACTTGACACTCATCTTAAACTGAAAACCTACAAGGTTAGCACAACTGGAACAGACTGTAAACCCAAGCCCTTTCTTTTTGAACTTTATTTTAACCTGTTTATTATAATAGATCTCTTTATCAACATTTCCACAGGACCATAGTTTTGATTGGCATTCACTAATATGTGGTGTTTCCACCTGGTTACACAAAAAAATTGTGATAGTGCATTTCTTGCACTATCACAATTCATACCTTGCTTTTTCATAGAATCCAACATTGCTTGAGCCTGTGCTCTCTGTTGCTTTTGAGTCTTGGTGAGGAACTTCCCTTCCTTCTTAAGTCTCTCTTTCCTTTCCTAAAAACACACATTCATTTGATGGAAATACTCTGTACATGTAAGTCCATACAGGAGACTGGCAGGTGCTTCACTCAGGCTGCTAGATTCAGACTTAAATACGCTGACCATCAGGGTGCTGTGTTGCCCAGAGTTGTGTTACTTTACAGCAACATGAACTCCTGACATTTTTTATTACACTGTTCTGGTGTTTATAGAACGAGGGCTATTCATATAATGTAAAAGGTTACCATTTCCACAGTGTAAAAACATTAAACGTTATTTTCAAATAAATTTCTCAAACTCAGTTATTCTTCAAGTGTAAACAAAGGAAATCATGACTGTGGGGGTGTTTGGATATTTGATCTTAATTAGCATAGATTTTTACGATTTAATTTCTCTGTTTTCTCCTTAGCTTTATTTTTGATTGAGAAGGTATATCAAACACTCAAAGACAGTGTTTGACCACATCTCCACACACCTCGAAGTTCATCAAAAATACTCTGCTGCTTGTCTTATTTTCAACTCTCTTCTTGGTGTTTGGAAATGGGATCAAACGCGGTCTTTCAAATTGAGAACTGGAAATAGCTGGTTATTGTATGCCTTTGTGAACAATAAATTATTAAAAATGTTTTACAGCAGACAGTCTGGCTTTATATCTGACTGTATTGGATACACAGAATCCAAGAGCCAGCTTCACAAGTCTGATTGTTCCACATTTTGCAATATTAACTTACTAATGTTCCTTAGTTGATTTGTATCTCTATTCTCACCACTAATATGTTTAACACTGTTTTGATAGTCAGAGGTTTCACTTATGTTTTCAGCAGGAGGACAACTGGTTTTCACAGGCGGGCAAAACTATTTGACCTGAACCTCTTTATAAG